AAGAAATTACGTCTGTGCATAATATTAGCAGATGCAACCCGTATTCCTTTTATGGAAAACAGTTGCCAGCCTTATTATTGTTGAAATTTAAGATGCAGGAAGAAAGAAGAAACGGCAACTACAAACAATCCATCTCACTGTAACTCAATGCTGTAGATATCTAAAGGAGTGTTGGTACCAACTAGTTTAGCATGCTCTTGTCTATCCTTCTTTCTGAAACTCCAGTGTTGTTGGTAACCGTCAACGTGGTTATTATATCAAATGAAATCCGTCATTCCACGAAATTAAGTTGCGACATTCATGGAAAAGACTAAAGTTGTCATTGTATTTCTGTTGAAGCATTGATAATTTGGTGGATTTAGTTAAGTTAGTTTGGTTTGAATGAGGTTTTGGCGCGCAAAGCTGCATTTCTTTGTCTGCCGAAATGAAGCTGCTGTAGTGTTGTTTTGGTGACATGTTGCTGAATTCAGCTTAGATTAAGGTTGTAAAGTTGCCAACTTTGTTTTAAATTTAAAAGTCTGAATGGTTGTTGCAGTGGTAAATCAGTAAGCATTTTGTTGTATATATTGCAAGTGCAGTGAATGAAACAATCCAGTTCAACTTTCATTCTCTCCTTATCTTTCTAGAGTTCACCGGCTCTAAAACCCACAAGTGGTATCAGGGCCTCAACCAAGAACAAAAATGAAATCTCTCTTGTATTCAGTCATCAACTCCAACTCAAGAACCACTCCATCTCAGCCCAAAAACAGCCTGCATCTGCCTCTTATTTTCCCTGCGTCAGACACAAAAATTGAAACAATGGCTGCTCAATCAGCCTTGATGTCACCTCCAATATTCAATGGGGAAACCACACTGGAAAGTGCGATGTAAACCCGGGGCAGGGGTGTGTGGGCATGTGGAAGAAAACAGGCAGCCACCTCCATTGCGACAAATCCTACCCTAAATCAGATGAGAATGCATGAGGAAGAAAACAGTCAAAGCACCGAGAGCCTTTCCCACTTCATGCTGTTGTGACAGACCTTGTATTCACAAGATCATGGCATATGAGACTGCAAAGGAGGCATGGGATAAGCTGAGAGAAGATACATGGGCAGCACACAACAAGGAACATGTAGGTGCTAAATTTAAGAGGAGGTTTGAGATGCAGGGATGCAAGAATCAGAGAAGGTTAGAGGCTATGTTGACAGATTGATGAGTGTTGTCAACAAATAAGGTTGCGGGAGTGGAGTTGACAGATGGAGAGTGGTGGAGAAAGTCCTGGTAGCCTACCCGAAGATTTGAATCCAAAATCTCATCTCTAGAGGACTCAAGAGACATGGGGGGGTACACTCACAGAGCTGGTTCATGCACTCCAAGACAAGAGCAAAGAAGGTCTTGTGGCAAGAAGAGTAGGTGAGGGTGTAATGATGGCAACTCACAAAACCAAACCAGCTCCAGGGAACAATAGAAGGTATGCCAGTGAGAAGAAGGGGAAAGAAAGGAGCAATGGCCAATAGGAAAAACCAGGTGGGATGAAGGAATATTCACCTTGCTCACTATAAAAGGAGGGCATTCCGAAAAAAGGTGCTGGTTTAGGTTAGGAATACAGTGCAGGGCTTGGAAACAATTTGGTCATATAAGGAGGTATGCAAGAACAAGGGAGAATAGCCCTAATAGCCAGCACAAGTGACAAATGACCCGCAACTGAACAAAGGGAGAACAGTTGTTTATGGCCTTGCAGTGACCACCAACATGTTATGATGGCTGGCTGGTTGATAGTAGGTGTACAAACATATGCACACACCTGCGAATTTTGTAGATTGAACTAACACATCGGTCCAAGATTAAAGTTGCAAAGGTGACTATGTTGAAGCAAAGGCGAAGGGAGATGTTGCAATCAAACCTCCACAGGCCACAAACCATCTCACAATGTACTTTATGCACCCGAAATCACTCAAAGCCTTTTAAGTGGTAGGCAAATGTTAGAAAAACATTATGTCTTGCATTTTGAAAATTAAATCTGTCAATTCTAGACGGTAAGGGGTGTGAGTAATAGAGAGTCAAAATGTGGGGAAAAGCTTTCCTATTAAGCTGAAAAAAAACTGAACATAGAGCCTGCAGTGTAAGGGTAGATGAATTTGTGAATGGCATAGAGACTTGGCCATGTCATTACCAAGGTCTTAAGGAAATTCAGACCAAAAAACGCAGATGCTACCAGAATTAGAGGGAGTAATACCATGTGTCAGACCTGTCAACTGGAAGTTGGTAGGCAATCTTCCCTTCAAACAAAGCCTGGAGAGCTGCTAAAAAATTGCAGCTATCCATACGGATGCATGTGGTCCTATGGAAACTTTGTCACTGAATGGAAGTAGATCTTGTGTTATTTATTGATGACTACTCTAGGATGTGTTAGGTTATGTATTTTTGAAGCAAAAGGAGAAGTTGATGGTGTATTCAAACAGTTTAAGCTGCTGGTGGAAAATCAAGCTGAAAAAACCATAAAAATCTTGAGAAGTGATAATGGTACAGAATACACTTCTCAAGAGTTTGAACAAGTGTGCAGGGATGCTAGAATTAAGCATCAATACGTAGCCCCTACACTCCACAACAAAATGGAGTAGTGAGAGGAACAATAGATCAGTTGTAGAGATGGATGATGTATGGTAGTTGAGAAGAGGTTGCCAAAGAAATTTGGGCAAAAGCTATCAATACAGTAGTGTTTCTGCTCAATAGGCTTCCACACAAAGCCTGGACAACAAAACCCCTATGAAGCATGGTATGGAGTTAAACCAGCAGTAGATAGGCTAAAAATATTCGGAAGTATATGCTACATTAGGTTCCAACGGCAAAAAGGTCCAAGTTGGATGAAAAGGCCTTAATTGGCATTCTTATATGCTATAGTAGTCAATCTAAAGCCTATAGGGTGTATGTTCAGAAACCGAAAAAAATCAGATTTCTAGGGTGTCAAAGTGGATGAGGATGGGGTATGGAATTTGGAAGAAAACAAAGATGTAGAGACAAAACCAGGCTGGACAAAAGCTGTAGATGATCAGTTTTTGTGATGGTGAGAGTGATACAGAAGAAGAAATTTGGTTAGAAGTATCGATCTCTAGCTAAGGTTTATGAGAGGTGTAACATAGCCTCACTTGAGCCAACATGTACACAGAGGTTTGGAGGTGCCATGAAGGAGGAGCTTGCCATGATTGAGAAGAATCAACTTGGAACCTGGTGGACAGACTTAAGAACAGGAAAGTGATCCAAGTTAAATGGATTTTTAAGAAGAAACTCAATCCAGATGGTTCAGTCCTTAAGCACAAAGCAAGGTTGGTTGTCAAAGGCTTTGTCAGCAGTATGGAGTTGATTTTCTGGAACACCTTTTCACCAGTTGCAAGACATGACCAATCAGGTATACTTGTAGTGGCAGCCCAATTTGCATGGAAAATATTTCAATTGGACACAAATTTGCATTCCTTAATGGATGGTTGAATGAGGAAATACTTTTGAGCAGCCGGAAGGTACAAAGTAGAGGAAAGGAAGACAAGGTTTATCTCCTAAGGAAGGCCTTGTATGGCCTGAAGCAGGCACCAAGGGCCTGTACAGCAGAATAAATGATCATTTGCTAAGTTTGGATTTTGTAAAAAGTCCAAAGAGCACACATTGTATGTTAGGAGAGATGATGAGATGTTATGATCATCTCCTTGTATGTTGATGATCTACTGTGATAGGGAGCAAGCCAACTCAGCTGGAGGAATTCAAGGATCCATGCTTGCTAAGTTTGAGATGACAGATTTGGTGAAATGGCTTACTTTCTTGGGATGCAGGTCATCAAGCTCGGCTGGAATCTTTGTTAATCAAGAGAAGTAGCAATTGAAGTTTTGAGGAAATTCAATATGGAAAACTGCAAATCAATGGATGTGCCTCTGGTTCCAAATCTGAAGCTGTAAAGGATGAAAATGCAGAGAGTGTTGATGAGGGACAGACAGAAGTTTGGTTGGTTGTTTGTTGTACCTAACAGCAACCAGGCCGAATATCATGTTTGCAACAAGCCTACTGTCCAGGTTCATGATCAGCCCAAGGAAATACATTTTAAAGCTGCAAAAGAGTGCTCGGTATGTGAAAGGGAGCACCAACTTTGGAGTATGGTTCAGGAGGTCAGAAAACTTTGGCCTAATAGGATTTTCTGATAGTGACTGGTGTGGTTCACTGGAGGAAGAATGAAAAGCACTTCAGGGTATGCTTTCTTCCTGAATCATGGTGCATATGTTGGATGTCAAAGAACACGAATTAACTGCCTCATTTGATCCTTGATGGGAGGTTAAAAGGCAGTTGATGGGAGTTACTTGGTCCCTAGCCTAGCCATATATAAAGATATATCTTCTCCATCAAAGAAATATCACGAAAATACAAAAGAAAGGAAAAGGTTTGGAGGCATAGGCTAGAAGACAACTCTCAACTCACAAATCATTCACGTTTTAGCTTTCTACAACACTTGAACAATATGGCTGGAGGTAAGTGGTTAAATTCCGCTTTATATTACATACGTAATGTTTTACATTTGATTGTTGCATGGTGTAATTGCTTTCGACAATCCGCAACTGCGCAAGCATACCATTCATTTTCTATCAATCTTTGTACAGCAATACTTCACATCCCATGATTACATCACTCAAAATAATTGCTTTCGCTTGCTATCTTTGTCATTTTGTTCCAAAATTTTCAGGGATATCCATACTCTAGGAGCTCATGGATAGGCACAGTGATCTGATCTGATGGCGTCTGTTTGCCTCCTTTAGAGCCGTAATTAGTAATTACAAATATTTGGCTACCATTTGCAAGTTTTTCTTCTAGATTGCCAAACCAAGATATGGCAGATATTACAGCAGCAAAACGTGCAAGATGGTACAACACAACCAGGATGATATGGTAAAATGCGTGTTAAACCCAGATGCACAAACAGATTGTATTTATTCATTATAAACAAAAAATAAAATTAGCAAATGTGATTATGGTATAACTCCTGATATGTGTAACTAGCAAGGGAAATATTGAATACCAAAAAAATAATAATAATAATAATAATTTCAGCATAGCACTGCAGTTACTTTATCTGCATTCCCGATCCCTACAAATGGTACAATACACTGAACATGTGACCTTAGAGGTTCACAGAGACTAAGAAGTTTGTGCACTGGCATAACAACAATTGATAAGTATACCATGTCTTTCTTCAGGTTTCACTTACTATGATTTTGGTGTGTGCACCTCACTAAAAAGGTGGTTTTCCTCACCTTCATCCATTCTTCTGTGGAAAAAAACTGTTCAAAGAAATGGCGCAAGGCCCGATTGCTATGGTCTATTCAATCTAATGCATGACCAGTTTTGAACTAGCTACACTATCAATCAATTCACGGCCTTTGGTTTCAAGAGGGAAAAGCAATGTAGCGATCGCAGACAGAAAAATAACAATCTCAAACAAAACTATGGCTGCAGTTTGATGGCATCCATGAACTAGAGCTACTGCCACAAGAGGACATACCATCCCACCGATTCTTCCAATCGAGCTTGCAACACCAACACCAGTTGTTCTCACTGAGGTAGGGTATATCTGCAGTTTAAAACAAATGAAAAATAACAGTTTTTTGGCTGTAGTTGGAAATATTTTCAAGAGTTATGCTTTATGAAGAATATATACAACTTCAACAAAACAAAAATTAATTTCTGTACATAAACTGACAGTTTAGAAATGACATAACAGTTATTGAAATACTCTAAGGTTATGTCTGTGGAGTAGGATCATGGGGTGGGATTGGACTATTTTTTTTTAAAATAGTCCAATCCCCTGTTTGGATGCTTCTTTGGGAGATTGGATATCCAATCCCAGTCTCCTTTATTTATCCCAAAATGATTGGGATTAAAAAATTAATCTTATTAAATTTATAATAATATATTTATTTAATTTATATAGTGATAACTAATTATTAATATACAAATTTATGTACTTATTTAATAATTAATTTAAAATGTAATAGTTTAATAATTTAAAAATTATTAATCAATTATATTTAATGTTTTTAATTTAACTTTTTAATATAAATATTCTTATCCGATCTCATACTTCACCAAACATAAGACAGTACTAATTCAATCCAATCCAATCCTGCCCCCCAAACGCGACCTAAGACTCTTGGGCTGATTTACTCCTATGATAGGGTGAAAAGCCTCATAAACACTGTACATAAGTATGACAACACAACCTTAAGAAGAGATGAGATAATGGGTGAATACACCTAATACAATTAATTTGTATCTAATAGAAATCCACTCTAATAATTCAACAATTTGGGCTGAGCCATGGGTCTTTCATGAGCTTGGATAGAACTATCCTTGAAAAACTGGTTTACCAAGGGAGGCCGGAGGGTGCCCAAGCCTTTATAATCCACATGCCCACCCTTTTCCTCAAAACCATCCAAAAAGCAATCATCAATACTTAGAAGCAATTACATTGGGGTTGGCCATCCGTAAATTTTTCAAAGAAGGAAAGTTCCGTCCTAGTTGCAACCAGTTTTTAAGTTATTTTCTGTACATTTAACAGAACCTTTTCAGTAGTAAGATGGAAACATAGAAACTCAATTGTCTATTGAATTTCTATCTCACAAATATTTAGATTGAAAGCATTTTTCCTTTGTGATTTCTTGATAATGAGATAGCGCTGTGCAACGGAAGATAAAAAAATAAATTTCCTATGGAAACAAGACATAAACTCTTCACTTACCTCTGGTGCATATATAAACACAATTGTGAAGCTTCCTGAAATGCATATTCGAGCTCCAAAGAGAAGAACTGTTGTTAAACCCTCAGACTGCTGGAACAGCAAAGGAAGCAGAAATGCGCAACAGCAGAAGAACATAGCTGACATTGAAAGCTTACGACCAAGTTTATCTACTATGGCAGCTGATAATAGGAGCCCAGGAAACTCTTGAAGCAAATCAAATCAAAGTTAAACGTTAACAAGCAGCTTTCTAGGAGTGACAAGATTAAAATTTCATATTAGTATAGAAAAGATTTATGAAAAAATTAAAAAAACCAAACCTGCAAAACTGGTGATGAAAACATCTTTGTAGTCAATATCCTGGGGTTTTTCAGATTGCAGTTTATCTGCACAGTTATTGTGTCCATTGTTCAACTCAGTGGTCAGCAATACAAGCCCATAATATGAAAATGCATTGCCAAAGAACACTACCCATAAGAGCAAGGTTGATCTGATTAATTCTGGAGAAAGAAGCACTAACAGTGCAGAGATGCCACCCATGTTAGACTCTGTCCACTCAGGAGTTGCGTATTCATTTTCTGTTTCCTTAGCCTTAGGAGTTGAATCTTCCTCTTCTTCCATTCCCTCAGCAGTTGTATTGCCTTCATCAAGACTTGTTATGATCGAACACCTAGTCTCTAGCTCACGTTCCCCATCAGAAACAAGATCACCAGAAGGAAGTGGTGTGCCATTAATTTTTGCTATTTTCTCCAAAATAAGACGTGCTTCAGCTGTTCTACCTTTCAAGCATAAATACCTCGGTGATTCAGGAGTCATCCTGTAGAACAAAAGGAGAAGCAGAGAAGGGAGAGAGGAAAGCGCAAGTAGCCACCTCCAACCCCGTCTTGGCATAACAAGCTGCAAGCAGACATCATAAGGATGAGCGTTCCCTCCAAATAATCTTTTTTATAATGAATTAGCATACTAAACTAGGAAAATATCATGTCATTTGAAATTCTCTTTTTTTTTTCTCTCTTTGGCAAGTAAATGCAATAGCACTGTCTTTTCTACTTTAGGGTGCAAGTAGCCAAGTACCAAACACAATGAAGCCACGGTGGATGGCAAGATTTGGACAAATTCATAGGATGACCACATATTAGTAACTGTCAAACACAGTGCTAACTACAACATGTTTTAAAATCAATATCCCGCTGATAGACCTCCCATTAAAAATGTATAACGATACAAAGGGCATAAGGGACATTTGGGGCAGTACAACGTTGGGAGTGTGAGGTGCATGTATGTTGTGAGAGTTGGTTATTACTGTTCACATGTTTGTGGGGAATCAAGTTGTTTAGTGGAGAGAATATCTTTAAGGGAGTAGTATATAAAGTGAGGTCAGTTTTAGAGAAGGTCAGGATATTTTCTATAGGGTCATTAAGGGAGGCTCCCAGCTCATCAAACTGCTGGGAACTATCAGTTTGGAGCTTATACTGTGTAGCTACTTTTCTCAATTTCATTCTATAAAAATACAGTCTCGTTTATCTATTGATTTGGTGAAACTCTCTTCTCTGCTATTTTGGTTTTCCTTCTTCTGTGTCGCTGCTGTGTTTATCTCCGACATTGTGAAGCTCCATGGTTTTCCAAAGTCGATTGTCTCAGATAGAGATAGGGTCTTTGTCAACCACTTTTGGCAGGAACTTTTCAAGGCAGCTGGCGCCTCTTTGAAGTTCAGTTCGGCATACCACCCTCAAACTAATGGCTAGACGGAGGAGGTCAACCGATGTTTGGAAGCTTACTTACGGTGTTCCTGTGACTCGTAGCCCAAACAGTGGCCTCGATGGCTGTCCTGGGCAAAATATTGGTACAATGTACCACCTATCACAGCTCTACCAAAATGACCCCCTTCAAGGATCTATACGGCAGGGATCCACCCACTCTACTTTGGTTTACAGATTACCCTTTATTGGTGGAAGAAGTAAACCAGCAAATGGTTGAGCGAAATTCCATCTTGGATGAGCTAAAGCATAACTTGTCTGTGGGCAAATGAAGGAAACAGCTGACCTATGCCGTCGGGATGTCAGTTTTCAACCTGGGAACCAAGTGTATTTGAAGCTCCAACCATATCGTTTGAAGTCATTGGCCAAAAAGCTAAATGAAAAGCTGAGTCCTCGATTTTATGGCCCTTTTCCCATACTGGAGAAGATTAGGCAGGTTGCTTACAGGCTGAAGCTGCCCTTTACGGCTAAAATTCATCTAGTCTTTCACGTCTCTCAGCTCAAACGCAGCCTACACACCTCTGTCCCCATCCAGCCACTTGCACCCTTCCTCATCAAGGACATGAAACTTCTTGATCAACCGAAATCTGTGTTGGCAGTCCGCACCTTATTGGATGGCTCTTAGGAAGTTCTTATAAAATGGAAGGACTTGGCTTCATTTGAGGCTTCTTGGGAGGCTTACGATGTCATCAAGCTACAGTTTCCTCATTTCCACCTTAAGGACAATGTAGCTCTTCATTGGGGGGGGGGGGGGGGTATTGATAGACGTCCCATTAAAAATGTCAATCGATACAAAGGGCATAAGGGGCAGTAGGACGTTGGGAGTGTGAGGTGCATGTATGTTGTGAGAGGTTGGTTATTACTGTTCACGTGTTTGTGGGAAAGCAAGTTGTTTAGTGGAGGGAATATCTTAGTTAAGGAAGTAGTATATAAAGTGAGGTCAATTTTAGGGAAGGTCGGGATATTTTCTATGGGATCATTCAGGGAGGCCCCCAGCTCCTCGAACTACTGGGAACTATTTGTTTTGAGCTTATACTGTGTAGCTACTTTTCTCAATTTCATTCTATAAAAAAACAATCTCGTTTATTCATTGATTTGGTGAAACTCTCTTCTCTGCTATTTTGGGTTGTCTATACTGTTTTGTGGCGATTGTTGCAGGGTGTCTCATCACCCACAAACGAGGAAATGATATTTGTACAGGGCATAAGTCTCACTACACGCCCCAGTTGCAGAACTTAGAGACAGTTATAAAATAAAATTGACCAAAGCAAAGGTAGAGATGGAAAAATAAAATTAAAACGACAAAGGAATCAATGAATTGCCACCAAAAAAAAAAAAAAAAATGAAAGATGTCTAGGAAATCACAGGCATACCCACGCAAGTGCCGCCTCCAAGACTGTCCCAACACTCCAGAAAGCTGAAAAAATAACCATCCAAACGCCTCTGTTTGGAGCAGGAATAAACTCTAGAAACCAAGATGAGAGCACAGGACCGCCTCCCAAACCAAGACCAACCAAACAACGAAAGATGATCAAGAAATAATAATTTGGGGCAAAAGCACTCAGAAAACCAGCTGCAGAAGTTACTACTGCTGTAACGAGGAATCCTTTCCTGAAGAAATAGAAATAAGGAAAAAAAGAAGAAGAAGAAAGAAGCAGAGTGATCAGATTCAAATAAGGTACATATAGAACCGCACTATAGATAATGCTGCAAGAATAAGCCATATCAAATTTAAAATCACATAAAAAAGTAGTAAAAGCATCCATAGTTACTAGAGTAAGGTGACATGATGTCCATTTCTTTTCAATACTAAAACTTTCCAATTCAACTATGTATTAGAAAAAGGTGAAACTTGAAAGAAGTTCAAAGGACCATTTATTTTAATATATTAGCATTGGCAGAAAACTTTTCACCAGGAGATGTTGCCTCAATCCACGTCTGCAAGATCTACATTACAAAACTAATTCATTGAGCGAACCAGGAAGAGAAGGGATTAGTCCCATCTAAAGAACTCCTTTAATTCTATTTCAATAAACATTGTGTTGACTATTCCTAAAGGTGTAACTTTAAAGTCTATTTTGTTTCTCACTTTCCCTGTGGTAGGTTTTACATCTCAAAGGTCATATTTTCCAGGCCAAGAAGGTAAGAAGCAGAAAACCATTTCTTATTCAGGAGCAAAAAGGAAAGATGAAATAAACTAGTCATTATATAACCCCTATAGATCATCTTCACGCATGGTAAAACAAAGCAGCTTGTCATTAGTTTCATTTCACCTAGACAAATAAATATGTATTCCCTTGAAATGAGAGTGACAGAGAATCAATATTGAAAAATTCCACAAAACACTGAAGGCGGATTTAGAAAAGCAGACACAAATGATGATTCAAAAAAGCGAAGACTGCAAACAATTAATGAGAAAATGATGAAGGGCACACCTTCTTCCATAATTGTCTGACATAATGCCCCATGAGTAGGTCCCAACTAGCATTCCCACAAAAACAGCAGTTGTTATGAGACTCTCTTGCTTAGGGGAAAGACCCCATAAAGATTGAACTGCTGGTCCTACAAAAGATAGGAGCATCATTTCCATCGCTTCCGAAATCAATCCCATGCCAGCATAAGCAAGCACACAAGCTTGAAATTTCCCAAATCCCATTTTCACAAGAGCCTCATCCACAGTATATGTGGAGTTTTCTTCTTGATTTTCAATTCCAATCTAAAAGTCAAAGAGACAGAATAAATTAAATTTTATAAATCCATATTGCTTTTAACAAATTGTTTTGAAGTATTGCAGTAACATTGTGGATTATTTTGGAGAGTTTCTACATGATTTTCCCGAAGAACTTCTGATTAATACTTCACCACATATTATCAGTTGCTTTGCATCTACATTTACAATGAAGATACAAGACTGAAGACACCGGTCTAAGACTTGAGTCCCGATACATAGTTCAAACAATCTAAACTTCATTTAAGCTAGAGTTGGCAATAAACTATCCTAATGATTTGATAAATCTCTTTTGAGCCTCAAAGAACTTTAGGAGCTTGAACAAAATGTTTAATTTCAAGTAAAGAATGGTGAAACGTTCAATGATATTTATCCTGATGTTGTTAAATATGTAGAGAGTTCCATTCCTAGTGCGAAATATCTTCTTCACTAACATGAAATTCAAATGCTATTTGGATTGATTTACTTCTTCACTCGCACATGCTTTCTCTTTACAAATCATGTAACCAGATCACGATGTAAGCACAGTAACATATACATATACTATTACATATAAATACATGTTAAGAAATACAAATGTCCCTGAAATTAGCAAATATATGAATATTGCGACTGCAATATTCAAAGTGTGAATGTTGGGAGTGTAATATTCAAAAGATAAGTAAATAATATGAGGGTTTAATCAAGAAACCAGGATTGAAAATGAAAATAGCGCAAAGAATCAAGATTGATCTCACCAAACACAGAGGGGCACAAACGAATACAAGCATTAACGTAAAAGAAACAAGAAAGAGAAAGTGCGTATGAATGAAAATGAAGGACGAACCTTTGGTAGAAAAGTTAAAAGAAAAAGAGAAAATGGAGATCTCGTTCTTCTTGTGTACTTCGTCCGTCCTCGTTCTCAACTCTTAACATTGTATTTAGACACGACAAAAAGTCAACCTAAATGGTTGACGTTGATTGGTTCTAAACTGCTAGTTGGCGTTGTTAGAATATTGTTAGATGATTATATATATGTTTGTATTGAACTTTGAGTAAACGACTTTTTCTCAACCAAGGTTTGTCTTAATGACACTTTTCCATCCAAAAAGTTTCAAATTATCATTTTTTCATCCAAAAATTAATATTTTATTACTACCCAAAACCAATTCCGATAATAAAAATTATCTCCATCATCACCATTTGAACCTACGGTCTCTTCTTTATAAAACCTCTCTCACTCCGGTACCTAATGTCTAATTGATTATCGGTTATCACAAAGTTAGGGTTTTTGATTCTTAGCTAATTTCCGACTAATTCTGACAACGAATATTCAATTAATCACCACCATTCGATCCACCAGCCTCCATTCTACAAAATCTCTCTTACCTGGGCTCTTGGTAATTGCCAAACATCGGCTGAGAAGATGAAGTGTATTTTAAGTATTAACAGAATATAAATTGGGTGGAAAAGTGGCATTTTAAAACTTTTTAAGTGAAAAAGTGTCATTAAGGCAAACCTTGGGTGGAAAAAGGTCATTTACTCTTGAAATTTATATAAAATAATTTAAACAAACACTTTTGTTTCCTATCCAATTCTTCCAAATCAAAATGCATATTTGTTTTCCTATTCTCAAAATATTATCATAAATTATTCAACTATTTTTAATTTTCAAATCCTATCTTATAATAATCATCCAACTCTACCTAACAATAATATTTAAAAAATACTATTCCAAATAACTAAACAACAAAGAAGGGCTTGTAGTGGACTCACACCACCTGCTCCATTATCTGGATCTGCAGGTGCACTTCTGCATCCATGATTAGTATGCTCAGTGAGTACAGTGTTTTCAAACACAGGCAGCATAAAAATTGAACTAACAATAAATTTTGGGATAGTAATCTTGAAGAAATGATATGTGCACACAATACAGTGCACACCTATGCACCCATAATAAATAGAAGGACATGTACAATATTTAGCGTAAGAGGTTGTGACTGTATTGACTAAGGCCTAGGTGTTTATTCCAACTTAGAATGCAAGATGATGAAATCCAAGCCCATCATGTTCTTAAACATGCAAGAGAGTTCATTGAAATTCAAGGCCCCAGATAGACAACATTCGGCCCACGCAACTCAAGGAAGCCACAAACTTGTCCAAGAAGTGTTAAGGGTCCAAGACGTGGCACAAGCCCTTTTTCGTAGCCCAAGCCGTAGAGATCAATGGGAAGAAGTTCATTGGTCCAAGCCAAGTGTGGATGTTATTTGGTTCAATTGTTGAAGGAAAATCAAGGAAAATGTGATTAGGAACATAGATCCTAATTTAGGAAAGATTGCCATAGCATTAATGGGTATGGCTTACACTTTGATATTGTATGGTGGGAATTATCTTCTAATATTTGTGGCCGAACGACTTACGCATACCCAAGGTTTGCGAAACGACATAGTTGGTACCAAAGGTTTGAACGACAAATAGGTACCTTCCATCATGTTCTGTTAATGTTTCGTTTGATAAAACAGTGAAAGACTAAAAATGCCCTTGAAAGTTTGATATTTTAGTTTTTATAAATTTTAAAATTTCTAAAAAAACCCCTAAGTTTGCTAACTTTGACTAAATACCCAATATATAAAATTTTATAAAATAACAAAACACACCCCCGCCACCCGCAATGAGATTGCCCCGTCCACCACTGCCAAATCTAGCGAAAAATTGCGTTACGACACAACCCGTCAGATCTGGGTCATAACTCTTCGATTGGCCTTTTCCGGCCTGACCGGCCAGATATGGTCGTCGATTGGCCGAAAAATGCTAGATCGTACGGTATGACATAGATCGATGGGTCTGTGTCGTAACGCAATTTTTCGGCCAGATCAGCACGGATCTTGCTGGAAAATGCCGATCTACGCGTTACGACACAGATCCGACGGCTTGTGTCGTAACGCAATTTTTCGGCCAGAGTCCAGCGGTGGTGGCCGGAATCTGGCACTGCAGGTGGCGGGGGTGTTTTTGTTATTTTATAAAATTTTATATATTGGGGTATTTAGTCAAATTACGAAACCTAGGGGTTTTTTAGAAATTTATAATTTATAAAAAACTAAAATATCAAACTTTCAAGGCATTTTAGTTTTTACTATTATCAAACGAAAATCACTAACGAGCATGACGGAAGGTACCTATTGTCGTTTCAAAACCGTTTGGGTACCAAACTTATCGTTTCGTCAAACCTTGGGTATGTGTAAGTCGTTCTGCTATTTTGTCGAATATTCATGTAATATTTGTTAGGGTAATTCCCATTTTTGTAAAGCCATTTTAAGGCCACTCTATCGTAATGAAATTGGACATTGAATATTGCATGAATAGTGTTGCCTTGAGAATTGTTTTCTCTTGAATTCCTTTACCAAGTTCGGCTAAACTTTGTGGTAGATTGATCCTCAAGCTGGTAGAGTTCCTTTAGGTTGTTGATGTTGGTCATCTATCTTGTAAGTTAATCTCACTTGGTTACCATTCATCTCACTTTTCGGATTGGTTATTTTTGTTGTGTTCCAAGTTTGTGTTGGGCATTTCAAAGTAGAATGATTTGTGTTGATTGAGACTAGATAAAAGGTGTTGTTCTAAAGTATTATAATGGTGTGTGTGCTGTAGAGTGTTAGCCGAATGTGTTAAGGTGTTCCAAGTAAAGTCAAGCTTAGTTGAGTTAAATGGTGAAATAAGGAGACTATGAATTAGGTTGCATGAATTCATATCACAAGATCAGAAAGATAAGGGACACGGCTAGAAAACACAGACAACACACTACAGCAACCAAATTCTACGAGTAACATAATATAAAGGTTCATTGAGCTTCTAGTGGTTGTCTGAGATGCCAAAAGAAGCAGAAGCAAGATTTTCTATAATTATTCAGCCAAAAACAAAAAGAAAAAAAAATCATAAATCCCACTACAAGTTTTCATCTTTTCAAATTAAAATATGTTCTTCTAACATTCAATGGTCCTTGGCGCAACATTGACATTCATTTTACTAAATAAATCTGAATTAAATTTTTCTATCATGCACATAACAGGTGCTGCCTGTTTTCTTTCCACATCGACGACCTCATTTCAAGACAAGCTATTTCATCTAATGCACGCATACTATATCTTGTATTGACGAAATTCAGAAACAACTTCATAAACGAAACGATATTCGGGTTTAATTTCCCGATGAAAACCATTAAATATAAAACACACCAAAAATCCAAAATTTGCAATATCCAGATCCCAGATCTCAACAGACGACCAAAGCCCCGCTGCCTCTTCACTAATTATCAACAAAAACAACCTCATAGGAATTCAAAAAAAGAGATCTTATCATACCAGCAATACCGATGTATATATCAAGTTTTTCACGAAAGTAAGAAAAGAACCCAATACACAACCAAAGACATTAACGGAATCAATTTGATGACCCATTTGTTTAAAAGAAAAGAAGAAACCCACCACAAAAGAGAATAAACTCAACAATGAAGATGAAGATGGAAATACATAAGCACATGTAAAAGAGATGATGGAAAGTACCAGTGGTACGATCCGAAGCTTGTGATTGGGTTGCCGCCATATGAATCTAATTAAAAAAAAAGAACTCTCTTAAAATTCTGGCACCAGAATCTAAACTAAAGACACACACGGATCTTTCCATATCTAATACTATTTGTAATAATTTAATCATGATGACTCCTATACTTTCCTCTTTCTTATTACTTGAATAGTAAAAATGGTAAATCCCAAAAACACCAGTGGTTGCATCTGACCACTGACCCTGACTTATACTTCATGTTGTTTGGTAATAAATAGCATCATGAGTTGTAAACTTGGAGTTTACTGATATGGGATTTTTGTACTTGTAGGTTTGTTGATTGAAGCTACTGCTTCCACATGTTTAATGTTTTGTTTCCAATGAGACAAAAAATTGTCCCACATTGAAAGCAGAGGTAGGTTCAATTCAAACACAATTGAACTAGTCATGTGTGTGTAATGTCTCTTGCATTAATATCACACTTGGTTTTGGGCCCTTTTATTGGAGTTTTTATCTATGTTTGGTTGGTTTCAACAAAATGTCCATCGAGGGCCAAAGGCCGAAAAGTATCTTCAAGCCAACTCAACTACATAACAATTAGCCTCATCAGCCCATCAATAGTCATCACAACACACAAGGAGATAACGAAAGAAATCAAACCCTATTTACCTTCTTTTGAGAAGGTCTTATTAGCCGGTCACAATATCATTAATTTTTCTAAAAATATAAACTGTCATAATTACTCATTACAAAACTGATCAATTACAAACTACCACGTCACGTTTATGAGAGAAAGTTAATGAGAAAGGTTGAGTATATATTACTCTTTTTTGTAAAGCTCCTGTTAATATACTCAAAAAAGTCCGATCTAGTTGATTATTTTATTGAAAAACATCTAATCATTTGAGAGTGATGAAAAAAACACAAAAGCAAACAAAAAGTTGCCATGTCAAAATAATAAACAATATAAAGATATAATTTTTGGTTGTTTTAGTGGGAGTCAGCCCAGTCCTGGATTCCTCAGCACATTACTTCGGATGCTTGTATTGTTGTCGTTATGCATCGGCTTATTTATCTGTTTAGCCTTTTAGTACAGTTCACTTAGTTGAGTAAAGAAATAATATATGTTGTCTAGTCTAGAGGCCATAATTGTCCGCAGTTAAATTGCTATTTGCAAGTATCCATCTGATCAACAATCACCTTTGCGTGATGCGTATCTCCATTGATCGGATTATGTTTTCCATATACTGCTCTTTCATTGAACATTCTTTAGCTATTTCTTTCTTCACTTCATTCTCAATTCATTATCTATTTCTTGATTGTAGCCTTCTGGAAGAAATTACGTCTGTGCTAATATTAGCAGATGCCAACCGTATTCCTTTATGGAAAACAGTTGCCAGCCTTATTATTGTGAAATTAAGATGCAGGGAAGAAAGAAGAAACGGCAAACTACAAAAAAATCCATCTCACTGAACTCAATGCTGTAGATATCTAAAGGAGTGTTTGGTACCAACTAGTTTAGCATGCTCTTGTCATCCTTACTTTCTGAAAACTCCAGTGTTGTTGGTAACCGCTACGTGGTTATTATATCAAATGAAATCCGTCATTCCACGAAATGAAGTTAGCGACATTCATGGAAAAGACTAAAGTTGTCATTGTATTTCTGTTGAAGCATTGATAATTTGGTGGAAATTTAGTTAAAGTTAGTTTGGTTTTGAATGAGGTTTTGGCGCCAAGACAACTGCTGCATTCCTCTTTGTCTGCCGAAATTGAAGCTGCGTAGTTTGTTGTTTTGAGTGACATGTTTAGCTGAATTCAGCTTAGATTAAGGTTGTATTAAGTTGCCAACTTTGTTTTAAATTTTAAAAGTCTGAATGGGGTTGCAGTTGGTAAATCAGTAAGCATTTTGTTGTAATATATGCAGTGCAGTGTAATGAAACAATCCCAGTTCACTTCCATTCTCTCCTTATCTTTCTTAGAGTTCACCGGCTATAAAACCAAACAGTGGTATCAGAGCCTCACACCAAGAACAACCTGAAATCTCTCTTGTATTCAGTCATCAAACTCAACTCAAGAACAACTCCCATCTCAGCCCCAAAACAGCCTGCATCTGCCTCTATTTTCCCTGCGTCAGACACAAAAATTGAAACAATGGCGCTCAATCAGCCTTGATGTCACCTCCATATTCAATGGGGAACACTACCACATTTGGGCTGTAAAGATGAAAGTCTTTCCGGGGTCAGGGGTTGTGGCAGTATGTGGAAGAAAACAGGCAGCCACCCATTGCGACAAATCCTACCCTAAATCAGATGAGAATGCATGAGGAAGAACAGTCAAGCACCGAGAGCCCTTTCCCACATTCATGCTGTTGTGACAGACCTTGTATCACAAAGATCATGGCATATGAGACTGCAAAGGAGGCAGGGATAAGCTGAGAGAAGAGTACATGGGCAGCACCACAACAAGGAACATGTAGGTGCTAAATTTAAGAGGAGAGTTTGAGATGCAGAGAGGATGCAAGAACAGAGAAGGTAAGGACTAGTTGACAGATTGATGAGTGTTGTCAACAAAATAAGGTTGCTGGGAGTGGAGTTGACAATAGGAGAGTGGGGAGAAATCCTGGTCAGCCTACCGAAAGATTGTACCAAATCTCATCTCTAGAGGACTCCAGAGACCTGGGGCGGGTTACACTCACAGAGCTGGTTCATGCACTCCAAGCACAAGAGCAAAGAAGGCTCTTGTGGCAAGAAGAAGAGTAGGTGAGGGGGATGATGGCAACTCCAAAAACAAACCAGCTCCAGGGAACAATAGAAGGTTGCCAGTGAGAAGAAGGGGAAAGAAAGGAGCAATGGCCAATAGAGAAAACCAGGTTGGATGAAGGAATATTCACCTTGCTCCCACATATAAAGGAAGGGGCATTCTGAAAAAAGGTGCTGGTTTAGGTTAGGAATACAGTGCAGGGCTTGTAAACAATTTGGTCATTAGAGAGGGTATGCAAGAACAAGGGAGAATAGCCCTAATAGCAAGCACAAGTGACAAATGACCAGCAACCTGAACAAAGGGAAGAACAGTTGTTTATGGCCCCTGCAGTGCACCACCAACATGTATGATGGCTGGCTGGTTGATAGTAGGTGTACAAATCATATGACACCACACCTGCAGGATTTTGTTAGATTGAACTCAACAATCGGTCCAAGATTAAAGTTGCAAATGGGGACTATGTTGAAGCAAAGGCGAAGGGAGATGTGCAATTCAAACCTCCACAGGCACAAAACTCATCTCAAATGTACTTTATGCACCCGAAATCACTCAAAGCCTTTTAAGTGTAGGACAAATGTTAGAAAACCATTATGTCTTGCATTTTGAAAATAAATCTGCAAATTCTAGACGGTAAGGGTGTGAGTTAATGAGAGTCAAAATGGTGGGAAAAAAGCTTTCCTATTAGCTGAAAAAAACTGAACCTAGAGCCTGCAGTGTAAGGGTAGATGAATTTGTGAAATGGCATAAGAGACTTGGCCATGTCATTACCAAGGTCTTAGGAAATTCAGACCAAAAAACTGGCCAGATGTACCAGAATTAGAGGAGAGTAATACCATGTGTCAGACCTGTCAACTGGCAAGTTGAGTAGGCAATCCTTCCCTTCAAACAAAGCCGGAGAGCTGCTAAAAAATTGCAGCTCATCCATACGGATGCATGTGGTCCTAGGAAACTTTGTCATGAATGGAAGTAGCTACTTTGTGTTATTATTGTGCTACTCTAGGATGGTGTAGGTGTATTTTTGAAGCAAAAAGGAGAAGTTGATGGTGTATTCAAACAGTTTAAGCTGGTGGAAAATCAAGCTGAAAAACCATAAAAATCTTGAGAAGTGATAATGGTACAGAATACACTTCTCAAGAGTTTGAACAAGTGTGCAGGGATGCTAGAATTAGCATCAATACAGTAGCCCCTACACTCCACACACAAAATGGAGTTAGTGAGGAACAATAGATCAGTTGTAGAGATGGCTAGATGTATGGTAGTTGAGAAGAGGTTGCCAAAGAAATTTTGGGCAAAAGCTATCAATACAGTAGTGTTTCTGCCAATAGGTCTCCACAAAAGCCGAGACAACAAAACACCCTATGAAGCATGGTATGGAGTTAAACCAGCAGTAGATAGGCTAAAAATATTCGGAAGTATATGCTACATTCAGGTTCCAACGGCAAAAAGGTCCAAGTTGGATGAAAAGGCCTTAATGGCATTCTTATATGCTATAGTAGTCATCTAAAGCCTATAGGGTGTATGTTTCAGAACCGAAAAAATCAGATTTTCTAGGGAGTCAAAGTGGAGGGATGGGGTATGGAATTTGGAAGAAAAACAACCTGATGTAGAGACAAAACCAGGTGGACAAAAGCTGTAGATGATCAGTTTTTTGATGATGTTGAGAGTGATACAGAAGAAGAAATTTTGGTTAGAAGTATCAGATCTCTAGCTAAGGTTTATGAGAGGTGTAACATAGCCTCACTTGAGCCAACATTACACAGAGGTTTGGAGAGCTGCCATGAAGGAGGAGCTTGCCATGATTGAGAAGAATCAAACTTGGAACCTGGTGGACAGACTTAGAACAGGAAAGTGACCAAGTTAAATGGATTTTTAAGAAGAAACCAATCCAGATGGTTAGTCCTTAAGCACAAAGCAAGGTTGGTTGTGTCAAAGGCTTTGCTCAGCAGTATGGAGTTGATTTTTGGACACCTTTTCACCAGTTGCAAGACAAGACACAATCAGGTTATTACTTGTAGGAGCCCCAATTGCATGGAAAATATTTCAATTGGACATCAAATTTGCATTCCTTAATGGATGGTTGAAGAGGAAATACATTTTGAGCACGCCGGAAGGGTACAAAGTCAGAGGAAAGGAAGACAAGGTTTATCTCCTAAGGAAGGCTGTATGGCCTGAAGCAGGCACCAAGGGCCTGGGTACAGCAGAATAAATGATATTTGCTAAGTTGGATTTTGTAAAAAGTCCAAATGAGCAAACATTGTATGTTGGAGATTGTGAGGATGTTATGATCATCTCCTTGTATGTTGATGATCTACTTGTGATAGGGAGCAAGCCAACTCA